TGACATAACACCGAACTGTGGTAGGTAAATATACACATACTCACCGCTATTTGGATCTATCCAAAACGAACCTAAAGGTAGCTATTTCGTTTGATTGCAAGTCCCACTATTATATCGCCGCGTGTTTTAAATGGGACATCGAAGTCATTGAATTTGCTCGCAAGCTAATCGTCATTAATCATTTAAACGTAAAGTAGATCGTTAAACAGCTTTGGAAATTAAATTAAATCCAATGGAAGCTTGTTTTTTTTGCTATCAAAGCAAGTTAAATTTACGATGACGAGCGACTTACGATTAGTGCTTTTGATAGTATCATTCCTGATTTTGGATCGCCCACGAAAGTTCATTCATGAATAAAGAGAATTGAATTGAACTGAAAAACTGTGAGATCAAGAAGCAGTAGCTCAAAAGCTAACGACTAAGACCCTGACTTTTGGTGCATGATAATAGAGTTCTTGTTTTGAGTTATGTGTTTATCGAGCTGCGATACTTGAACCAGTGGAGGATTATTAATTGCCACGTGTTTGAAAATCAGTCATTATATATGTATTAAAAGAGCGTTGTATTGATTATAACTATGCTGAAATGCTCTGAGCCAATCTGTATTTAAGATCATATTAATAACGTAATCTTTTGAAAAATATCAAAAAATAGGTCGAAAGATGGGTAATAGCAAATACGGTAAAACGGTCCAGTGGATACTAATTTCTGTAATGTAGCATTTAATCATCATCTTTTCACGGTGCGTATGCATGGGTTACGAAAATGTCCGGCGTGTTGAGAGTGAAAAACGATTCCACATTATGATGTACAGTCGCAGCTTGTCTGCATATTTCAAATGTACCGGGCTCAAAGCACCGCATGTGAGTCAGTATCCAACGTTTATTAAACTGTATGCTTGTCTGAAGAAGCGTCTCTTTCATCTTGCCATAATTCATCATTAATCAAAAGTGCGGAATTTCATTCATAAATTCCCATTCCACAGTATGGTGTACCATACCATATATCTACCATGCACCAACTGGTTGGTGGCCAAAACAGATCCAAAAAGAGCCATCAATTTTTCACACACATGAAAGTGAGGTTAAATAAACATCACAATTAGCAGTCGTCGAGGTGGAAAAAGAAATCAAATAAACCTCTTCTTCTCCCTGAGACCGTTGATTCCGAACAAGACTGTGAACACGGTGCACTGATGCATTTGCCGAGATGAGCCATTGATGCAACTCGAACAATACCATCCCGTTCCCACCACCATTCAGCCCATTCATGATACAGTCCAAATTGCTCATTAAAACGAACGACGACCGCATCATCGAATCGAATCGAAAACATAATCGTCTTCATCAAATCTGTCCGGGTTGCAGACACCTTTTCCGATCATCATCCATCCATCGGTCAGACGTGTTGGATCGATGCGGCCAGTGGAGACCATCCTTCTAAAATTATGTACACGACAGAATTCAATTGACCTCATGCTGGGCCACACAGCTGCCATATGGCGCTGGCTTTGGAGCGATTTCCGATTGGAAACTGCCGTTGACTGACACTTCGATTATTTGGGACTCGTACGGGGTTTGAAGTGTTTTGAAAAGACTTTTTGACTCCTTCAAAGCACTCATGATTTTGATGAAGTAGCTGCGCCAAATTGTTTTCAAATTTATATTGTTTTATTTATCATATAAATATCAGTGCACTGATTTCATGTGACTAGTTTCATCGTAATTCTCAGGAGATGATGATGATGGTCCCACCTCTTACCCCTACAAAGGTTTGAGCTGGACGATTTATCTTTAAGATAATTAAATATGGCATTTTAACCAGGTTTGCAAACAAAATCGAACTGGTTTCAGTTACAGATATAAATTCCCTCTAGAGTTTACAGTTGCTTCACAGTGATATAAATGTGGAAACGGTCAGGCGTCCACCTCTTAGTTCGGTTTTTTGTTCACCTAAAATATTCATAAGTATTACAAGCAATCAAGAGTTAATGAACAATCAACAAAGCATCCTATTACACTAGCAACCCCGCAATCTGATGCTATCATAATTTTCAGCAATGTCAGGAATGCTCACGAACCCCCAACATTTGCCAGAAAACTTACTACTAACTCAAGGTATCTTCCAAATAAGCTTCAATATTGCATTTACGCGCGCGAGGCACAAACACTTTGTAGACTACTTTTTTTTTAATTAATCGACTACTATTAAATCAAATATTCAAAATCCATCATCACCATCGTGGTGAACAAAAATAGTTTTTGCAGTGCTACAATAATTATTAAAAAGTCATTATGACAGCTATCCATACAAAATAATCCGTTATAGGTAACTTCGTCAAGATACATAATTTGTCAATTCATAAAAAAATCACTGGATAACTGATCAAAAGACAGTTTTAACTTGTGAAATGCCGTGTCTTTTAAATTCTGTAAGCGTTGCTGAACGTTTGATATGTCTAGGCATCGAATTGAAAACATTTATTCCTTTAAAATATAATGAATTTTGTGAAGCATCCAGTTGCCATCAATAACTTCGTTGGTACGAAGGTTGAGTTGAACTGATTCTTCGACATAAATAGCAACACCGCCAGTGTGTCTAGAATGTGATAAACAAGCAGCAACAATATATCCCGGAATACTATACTGATCAAAAGCTTCAGTTTCTACAATATGAGTTTCAGATAATAAAACTAAAAGAGGACGTTTTTCCTCAACAATCTGACGTAATTCTACGTAGTTTGTTGACAACCCCGCAATATTCAAATAAAGAATACCCGTTGTGGTGAACACCTTTGAATATGATCATATTTGATGAAATCTATAGGGAATGTGTAAAAATCTCTAACAGGGTTGTTCTTAACTGTAAACTGAAGAAGAAATCAAAGAATTTTCGAAAAATACACATATTTGATGAATTTGTCAGCGACAACGAGACAGATGAAGAAGTTGATAATTGATAACTTGATATCGGGATAACATTGTGTTGTATAATAATTGTACTGCGTTTTCTATACAAACTCATGTGAATATAATATATATTATATAAACACATCAACGCTTCTTTAATATTTACAACTGAATTTTACATCAACTTTTACCTTATTCCAAAAGCCTCATTTAAAACATTAGCAGTTTGGCTTGTTTTTATATTGCACATGGCAAAACAGGCGTATGCACATATTTTCAGTTTTGGCAAACCAATTTTCACTGCTTTGACGTACAGTTACAACCTAGGTTACAACCCAATTTGTCACTTTCTCTCCTATGTGCAGTTAAATTTAGGGTAAAATATATTTAAAAAGTGCTACAACTATGTAAGAAATTCATACTAGGGGTAATGAATGTAATGTCGGTCTAAATGCCCCTAATTTGGGTTCATACATAAATTCAGCAATCGACTAAATTTTCAATAGCGACCAAAAATATCCATTAGTACCGTCAAAATGACACGTTCATCTAGATAAAAATGATAAAGAGCAGATTGTTAGCGATGGGCCCAATCTTATATCCATAGGCCAACATTAGAGCCATTTCCCCTATGTAAGACATACTGTCTTCAGGAAAAAAATAATTTAATTTATTTTTGAACTTTTGAGCCTAAATTGAAAAATATTAATTGTATATTATTAATACTAATTGAACTCCTGGAGTATAGTTGTCGATTTTAATGGTAATATTTAAATCTTTTTTCAATCGATATAGAATTTCATACTTCTTGGTCATTTTTTTTGATGACATTGTCAATTTGAGAGATGAACTTAAGTTTGGCATCAATAATGACGCCAAGATATTTAATCTCCTGAACATGATCAATAGTCTCATCATCAATTACAACAAATACGTTCTCATTTACTCGATTCCGCGCAATTACAATGAAATTAGTTTTAGTTGTATTCCATTTTTGCTGCTTATACATCAACCACCTACTTAGAGAATTTTTTTTTAAAGCTTTATTAAAGAGATTTATAGCCTTAGGCTAGTTCATACTTAGAGAAAGCAAATCTTCATTCAAGTGTACAACGGCAGCATCTAAACCCTTAACTGTAACGAATAAAACAGTATCATATGCAAAAAGTCAATATCGCAAAATCGTAAAACACGACACATGTCATTAATATACATAATAAATAAAAGGAGCCCTTATACACTTTGCTGTGGCAGTTCAAGGTTATTCTCCACGATACTGGAAACAGAATCATTCAGTTCGTTGAGTTTTGTCAGACAAATAGCTTTCAAACCATGTATATGAAATACCCATAATTCCAAAAGCGCTTGATTGAACTCAACAATAAGGGCCTAGAAATTGTTTCAAAATCGTATTTTAGATCAAAAAACAGCAACACTCGTATATATACCTAGGCTCCAATTAATTTTTCCACTTCGCTAATTCCAAATTCAACGCGGTTTCACAAGAATGACCTTCCCGATATCCCGATTGTTCCAGTATTGATCGTTCCAGCATCTTTTTGTATAGGAACAACTAAGGATTCCTTCCAAATTTGTGGCACATGTCCAGTCTGCAATGATTGATTAATAAGGTCCTGCAAGATGTGGCTAATGACATGAAAGCAAATAACTAGAAGGACATCTAATGAAACCTTCAAATCTACAACTACTACTAACCGTTTTATTTCGTCAGGTTCATCGACCAATTAAATTAATTAATTAAACAATGAAACACTGTCGGCAAAATAATCATTAAATTTAGATGCAATTACTTGTTCTGACTGTTCTAATGTGCCATTAAAAGGCATGATATAAATCGGAAAAACGCGCCCCTGCAGATACCGCTCCAACCATTAATAAATATATCAATCACTCCCGAACATCAACCGCTGTAACATTATTCATTATTCCAGCGTGTTCCAAACAGCGGCACGCTACGTAAGAGCACAGCGGCATGAACGAGCAGACCCGGTAGACACATCTGCCAGATCACCTTGTAGAAGAGATGCAGAAGAAACGTCAAAATCATCCGGTCAGCATCGAGTTGTTGATGTTTACCTATGTTTACAAACGCAAATAATTTAAACTGTAAACATGGATTCAGGACCGCGCGAGCTTTCTTTGGCTGAAATTCGTAGTTTTATGCTTAAAAATAATTGTAAAGTGACTAACCACGCATTGGTGAAACATTTCCGTGCATTTTTGACGAACAAAGAAACGCAGGGTAAGTATGATTCATCGTGGAACTTTTGTTTTTGTTCGGATCCCTACCACTTGTTGCATCGTGGCGTTAATTTGCTTGGATTAGCAAATTTTGATGCTGATGTCACCTGCTATTGGGTGTACAATGGTTCTCGAATAATTAAAAAACGTCACTCAATCGATGCACTGTCTGTTTTGTTCCAGATGAGGCCCGAAAAGTCTTCAAGAGTTACGTCAACACCTTGGCATCAATCAAGAACGAAGGTGACGAAAAGTTTCTTATTTTGCGCAAAAAGTACATTAACGAGTGCCCTAGTGAAGATGCCGTGAATGTGAATATTCCGATGAGCCCGGGCTCACGTTCGTTAACAGCAGTTCTATCGGATGGTGAAAATTCACCATTTAAATTACCCCCACCTTATCGACCTCCACCAGAAGTTCTCGATCTAAATAACCCATATCAAGGAAGCCCTCGGGGAAGCATTGCTTTATCGCGGAAGAATAGCTCCGACACCGGCCGCAGTGGTTCCGAGTACAGTTTCAGCAGTGAATTTACCGGTAGTGATTCGCGTAAGATCGGTTCGTCGTTAGTTAGAAGTGAGAGCAGTGATTCTCGTTTACTTTCGGAAGTATCCAGGAAGCAGAGTGTTGAATTGTATCGTTTCGATAGTCAGGAAGAATCAGCTCCGGCTATACCGCCTCGAAAGCGCACAAGTGTGGATCAATCAACCGGACAGTTGCGACAGTTTTCTATTGAAGAAAAAAATCGTGAACCCATCGCAAATATTCCGATGACCGCGAGTGAATCTGAGCACGAGTCGAACAAAGAGAACGAGCAAAGCACCACAGTGGGCGATGATAATGATATTAAAAATGCTAACGCTGCAAATGCCGAGCAGCAGGAGGAAAACAAACTGAGCGTCAAAGAGAAGATGATGAAATTTAACCGCTTTGCCTCAGAAGAAGAGGCAAAAGTGCCTTCGCCAATAGGCAAAAAGAAACCGGAAAAGGTAAGTTTAAAAGCTCGTATTCAATCCGCAAGTGTTTCTAATTATATTTTTTGCAAATTATGGGTAAAATGTTACCCCTTTTTATGAATTACAGTAATCCCTCCATTTATGCGGTGGGTGGTACCGTCCATCCACCGTTATTTCTCGACTCACCAACTTTTCTGTAGATAGGAGAAAGTGGGGCCTAAAAATCAACTTATTGCAGGCTTAATGCTTGAAGCCTACTATCCATTTGATTTAAGCATAACAAAATACTTTTCTATAGAGCAAATATTCGAAAAATGTTAGACTAGCTCAAAATGTTAAAACTGTTATAAAATTGTTGAATCAAAAAATAAGGTCGATCAGTAGTTTCTTATAACTTATCGTTGATATTCCTTCAGCAGCTTCATAAATGGTCATTGGTTTCTTATATGACGTGATGTTTTTCTAGTTTTTAATGAACATTTAAAAAAATCTTAACCAATTATGACTTATGTCCATTCGGGGCAATATGAACACCACTGATATTTCAATTAAATTCTATACCTATCAAAACCTAACCCCTTAAGTACTCATCCCCTAGGGAACTGTTCATTAACTACGTAGACAGTTTTTTGGGATTCGGGAAAGTCTTACAAGTTTCAGGAAAACCCTGTGAACTACTGTGATGACCTACGACGGTCAGGAAATCTCTCCGAACCTTCAGAGAAGTTCTACAAATTTCAGAGAAGTCTTACGAACTTCAGCGAAGTCCTTTAATCTTTAGGGAATAACTACGAATTTTACAGAATTTTCTACAAATTTAATGTAACTTCTGCGACATTTAAGGATAATCCTATGACACTTCAGAGCAGTGCTGTAAATTTTCATATCATTCGATTGAAGATGAACCACTACAACCATTCAATCAATTGTGTGTAAACGAATTCTCACATGACCATAATTTGAAGAGCCCCTTTCTCATTCGAAGCTCATTGTCACTGTCAATTGAGTCACTCAGTATCATTTGATATACGACAGTGGAGTATGGAAGAAATCCAGGAAAATGGTCCCGAACAGACAAGTCGACCCGATGTCGGATCAATGTAAGGCTAATTTAAGATCGATGTCGACCCAATGTCGTGTTAATGTCGGGTCAATTTTGGGTTTATGTCGGGTCAATGTCGGGTCAACATCGGGTTGGGGTTTGATAGAAGTCAGGTTGGTGTCGGGTTGGCTTAGCTTTTTTGCCGGAATGTCGACCAGAGCTCCGTTTGTGTGTAAGTTACACTCAATCGAATGATATATAGCGTTTCTCAAATGAGAATGATCCATGCCTTCGTCAAATGACTAAGCAACTGATATCACCCATTCGGAGGAGGTCCCCTTTGATAGCGAATAGCTACTTTTCTCATTTTCATCAAAAATGTTCAAATGATTTTGAGAATTTACAGCACTGCTTCAGAGAAGAGCTTCAGAGCAGTCTTCAATACTTTTGGGAAGTCCTCTGAACTTAACATAGTTCCCCAAGCTCAAAAAAGTTCCTAGAACTTCCGAGAAGTCGATTGAACTACAGGTAGTCCTGAAATTCATGGGAGCTCTCCAAACTTCAGGGAATTTCCAAGAAATTATGGAAACCCCCACAAACTTTTGGAAAACCCTTCGATATTAAAAGCCTTATGACCTTCAGGGAAGCTCTCCTAAATTTAGGGTTCTCATATATTCAGTTAAGTCCTTCAAACTTCTGGGAAGTCCTCAGATCTTCGAGAAAGTTCTTCGAACTTGAAGGAAGTCTTACGAACTTCTTAGAATTTCTATGAACTTCGTGGTCCTTCTACGATATTTAAGAAATTCCTATGAATTTCAAAAAAACTCCTAACTTCAGGGAAGTCCTAAGATCTTAAAAAAAAAGTCCTTCGAACTTCTGGAAATACCCATGAAATTCAGGCGGTACAAACTTCAATGAACTGGAATCAATCAGGAAAAACCTTAACGCTTCAGGGAAGTTCTACGGACTTTAGGGAGTCTCTATAAATTTCAGCAGTCAATCTTTTTTTAATAATAAGAGTTATTAAACCAGCGTTGTTGATGTAATCTTTTAATCATATGATTTTGAAATCATGTTGTAATCAAAATTCCGCTAAATAAGATCCTTAATCGTTGACAATTTGCGGAAAATTTAAACAAACTGGAAATCCGTAAAATTGTTAGAAGCAAAGGTTTGTTTAAAGAGTCCTCATTCATATCACACTTCGCAATTTCACCTTGAGATAAACTAGCCCGTTGGCTAAAAATCTCAATAATAAAGTTAAAAAAATCGCAGTTTCAAAAACAGAAATCTCAAGATTTAGGGGCTTATAGATCTCTAAATTTCAGACATTAGATAGGACTCCGCGCTAGTCCGTCGTATCTCAGCTTTTCTTCGTCATACACCCCTAAAATCGCACATTTTAAGGGTTATCGCAAATGTTTCAGTGTCAATCGTAATTAATCTTGTAAGCAAAGATGTTTTTGCAAAAACATGAGTGAAAACGCTTTCCTATTATAGTTTTAGCACATAGAACGGAAATAGGCGCCATGATACGACGAAGTAGCGCGGCTCCCTACTAGCTTCTTTACAGCAAACAATCGGTTAAAGATTTCACGGGCATTCATAAGAACCTTAATACCTATTTTGGTTTGTGAAATTCCGCGTTGCGCGATGAATGATGGTACAAGGATTCACTTTATTTTTTTTATTATTAAAAACTGTTTTTTTTTAAAACAAGGTTTTTAAAACCAGGAAATTTTTAAACCATTTACCAGGAAAACCAGGAAAAAACCAGGAATTTCAAAATGGAAATTCACTTGCCACCCTGCATTCCTGTGTTGTTCGAAGAATTTTCATCATTTATCGTGTACCATGTACCATGCGCATCTCTCGTCGTGATGGTGGGATATAGCAGACTAATTAGAGAGCAAACAAGGAGGTATTAGTATTAGTTATATTTAAACAAGAAGAAAGAAAGAAGAGCAGATAAATAAAAGGGGAATAAATATCAAGTAGAAAATAAAGAAAAAGAAACGTATAAAAAAGTATAAGCATAATAAAGTATAAAAAAGTATAAGCATAATAAAGTATAAAAAAGTATAAGCATAATAGAAATGACAGTTTTGTAGGAAAATAAAACTACTTTATAACTTGAAGTGCAATGGATGAGGGCAAGGTTGCAAAGACTCATTTCAGCTAAAACAATGTTTTTCTAAATTATGAAATAATTAGATGCCATGATCAAATTTTGAATTGGTAGGATACAAGAAGAGGTTGCAAAGAATGTGTTTGACATATTAAACCTGTTTATTTCACTTCATGAGAGTCACAATCAGCGATTTTTCACAAACTCACTCACTCACTCACTCACTCACTCAGCGATCAGCAAATCGCTGATTGTGACTCATAGAAAGAAAAATTTACAGGTGTTATGTTTCCAACGCATACTTTGTAACCTTTTCTTGTAAGTTACATGTAAAACATGCCATCATACCATCTTTTGGTTTTATTATTCCGAAAAACATTATTTTAGCTGAAATGAGTCTTTGCAACCTTGGATGAGGGTTAGTTTCGGGATCATTTTACTTGAATTTACAAAAGCAAACTTAAAATAACAATTATATGCTAATATTATATTTCCCATATAAATAACTTTGATAAAAACAAAACAAATGCAAAAAATAGAACTTGACAAATCATCGACAATCCCTTCATTCTTGGACAAGGAAAACCAAATTTGATTTCGATTTGCTGTCGTTTTTATGATGGACTTTGCTCGGGCACTTTGCCCCACTGGCTACTTTTAATAGAGATTTTCCCTTCTTTCAAACATGAACTGTTCTTTCGAGTTGTATTGTTGCAGGAATTATTGGCGCTGTCTCACTGCTCCTCCTATATCGCACTACTAACTATAAACTATTCAAATCGACGCTTCTGCTAACTAATTCACTAACTATTCAAATCTACGTATCTGCTTTTGTGAACAATCACTTCAATCGACGATTTGTGGCAACTGCTAGCTCACTCACAGAAACTAGCAACAACAGTTAGTAGGGGGAAGATTTGGTCTTTGTTTGCATGGGTTATTTAGCAGTTAAGACAAATCGCCGTTTGAAAAGATTGTTTACAAAAGCACATACGTCGATTTGAATAGTTACGTTTGAATTATTTACATAACATTAAACTCCTATGCGGCTCGTAAACGAAGATATAACTGATATGCCATTACCAAAATTCGAAAAAAATCTATTATTCTAGTTTTTTGTTTAGTTTTACGTAAACCCTCAGTTACTCGCGCTGTTGTACCATAGAGGTAACTCTAAGACCAGAAGGTCCCGAAGAAACATGGTCAACTTTTGGGCTCAGCTCTGGTACTATCTTCGGTCCCAAGCTAATCGATGCACCCCTCGAAACATAGGAAAATCCACTAACCCCTCATTTTATCTGTCAAACTTTCATAGCGAATCAAAACATAGTGTAGTACTGGAATTTATACTAGATTGGGATACGTTAATCGATTTGCTTGGGACCAATAGGCTAGTCAAGTAGGGAGCTAATTTAAAATCGTTAGTTTCGAATTGATTGTTGGTTGTACTTTGTTCATCACATATGAGTTTTCCATTGCCATTTTGTTGCTGCCAATCGATTTAAAACCAACGTGTATTCTTCAAAAGCTTGTTTGACCTAAAGGTGCTAAACTTTGATTACAGTAAACCCCAAAAAATGCGGATAATAGGGGGAAAATGTAAATGGAAACCGCGTAAACGGTGTCCATACTACGTTGAATTTGATAACAGAATATCTGGAGATCCTGACCAGATACTGTCTTCGGCAAAGCTGTTCAGGAGATCATAAACTTTTTGCGGGTGGACAGTAGTTCAGAATTTTCTCACTACGTAGCACTAGTATGCATGTGAAATTCTCCCATATAAAATATCTATAGATCCTGACCATAAAGATAGTAAATGTCTTCGGCAAAGTTGTTCATGAAGTCAAAATCTTTTCATTG